GGAACTGTCGGAGTGTCTTCTAATAAATTTTAATAAAATTTAGTTAATAACTACGTTAAAAGTATACAAACTCTATTTTAAATTTGTAGCATTCACTAAAAGTGTTGATCAGAGTTATTAGCAATCAAATGTTGCACTACTTTATAGTAGTTGAACACTATTATGCAAATTTTTAGAAGTGAAAGGGTCGCGGAGGAAGACGGCGATATTACATTTACAATAAATTCTGGAATTTTCAAAAATGGTTGAAGAATTAATAAAATTTAGTTAATAATTATGTTAAAAGTATACAAAATTTTATTAATTCTTCAACCATTTTTGAAAATTCCAGAATTTATTGTAAATATTATATCGCCGTCTTCCTCCGCGACCCTTTCACTTCTAAAAATTTGCATAATAGTGTTCAACTACTATAAAGTAGTGCAACATTTGATTGCTAATAACTCTGATCAACAATTTTAGTGAATGCTACAAATTTAAAATAGAGTTTGTAAACTGTTAACGTAGTTATTGACTAAATTTTATTAAAATTTATTAGAAGACACTCCGACAGTTCCCTTGTTAGTGTACATTTTCTTGGCGTAATCTATTAAAACTCAAAAACCCACATCTAAAATAGTATAATAGAAGCCAAGTTCTTCAAGGTAAGCCTTAATCCTGTCTCTCTCCCCCACGGGGGAATATTGAAAAATCCTTTTTTACTGTATATTCTGTTGACATACCCTATTAAAACGCAATCAAAAACGCAAAAAACCGCATCTAAAATAGTAGATATAGAAGCAGAGTTCTTTACGGTAAGCCTTAATCCTGTTCATCTCCCCCCAGTGGGGGAATTTCAACATGTATATTATATAAAACACGTGTATTCGAATGCAGCGTTGTGTCAAAACTTCAAAGGAATTGGGAGGAACAAACGAACATTACATTTTTATTTATATAGATAGATAGAAGATGATCTGCTTTAGTTCATCCTCACAGAAAAGCAAACTTAGTGCATCATACTCGTAGCGCCATCTGTTGGACATAAAAGCCTTAACCCTAGATGAAAAATCCATTGTAGTTTTATTTAATTAATAAACAATCTGCAGGTTTGACTAGTGGTAAATATTCCAGGGGTCATAAAGATGCTACAGTTAAAATTTTGTAACAATTGGTTCAGTAGTTTTCGTGGTTAGTGGTCACAAACGAAAAATACGTTGTCTCTTTATATAGTAAGTATAGATAGGTTACAAAATATGTTTTCTTTTGATATATCTTGTAAGGAGGTGCTAACTAAAAGTATTTCCTTTAGAACAGGGCTTCTTAAACTATGGGTCGCGATCCCATGTGGGGTCACTTAGCGAAATCTTGGGGTTGCGAGATTTTAATGCAAAATTTTGAAAATAATTTGTGAGAGTTTGAAAGTGAGGCATGCTTTGTGTCATAAGTTTCGTGAGTTGCGCTTTATGTCACTTCTGGTGCAGCGAGACAATGATTCAGCAACACTGATTGTAGTGTGAACTAGTGTAGTGTTATCACTTTTCAGCATATTCAGTTGTCTCTGTCCCATTGTTGTTTTTGCAAATTTGTATATATCTTTATTTTATATTTTTGGGTTGCGAAAAAAATCACAATCATAAATGGGGTCGTGAATAAAAAATGTTTAAGAAGTCCTGCTTTAGAAGGAAGTACTTTTCTGAATAATTCATGTATTTAATAAGGAATAAATGTTGGTTGGTTGATGGAATAAGGTGACTAAATACTTTGGCAATCTGCTGAGGAGGAGTGCTTTCTGGGAGAACTTTTTTTATGAGAAGCTGACCCCTATTTAGGTATTTAGATATTAAAGACATGAAGAAAACCCAGAAAATGACAAGATGTTGCCAACTGGTTGACATGTAAACTTGACCGAACTATTACTGTTCAGTAGTTTTATCTACTTAGTCACTAAGGGATAAGGTTTAAACAATATGTTATATACATAAATTATATAATTGGAAAAGTGTCTAATATTCCTACAGTAATATAATTAATAATTTTTGTCCAATTATTCATTTATATTAAAAAAACAACACTCACACAGAAAACAAGATTTAGATTTTGTGTGTATATATATAATCTAGATTTTCACAATCAGATAGAGATGGTATTTATTGAATGAAATCAAAAAATAAATCTTTACCGATTAATATTAACAGGAAATCTTTTTATTATTGTTATTCTTTGTATTATCACAAAACACTTTTATAACTGATTTTTATCTTACAGTGGGCAGAAAGTTGTTTTAAACGAAACCAAAGAAGAAGTAACAATCATCGGAATCGACAATTACGGTTACCTCCAAGTCGAAACCTCGTCCGGAGACATGCTGTCACTTCAGTCAGATGGAAACAGTTTAGATATGATGCATAATTTAATCAGATTAAAAACCTAAGTATTTGCATAATACTGTATGCATGATTAACCCAGTATCTTCGTTTTTTTACTTTTAAAATTATATAACGTACATAAGTGTTTATTATACAAGAATTTGTGGTTGATTTTCATTTTAATGTTTTAGTTATCGTGGGAATGTGCCGTGCCATAGTCATATATTTTGTTTAAAGCACAAAATGACTTTGCAATTTAACAATAAATTGTAATTCCAGTTATGATGCAGTTTTCTTGTGCCAATCCACCGAGCAAGTTCAAAAAGTTGTTAAGTGTACAGTGCCAAAGTAAGATTCCCCTTGATATTTTTAAAATCAGTTTAAATAATTGTTTCGAGGGAACAAATGGACAAGCAGCTACGGCACTCTGAACAGTTTCAATGCAAAAAGAAAACTCAAATAATTAAACTTGGTGCTCTAAATATTTTATATTGATAAATTTAGTATATGTAGATTTAATCTGTATTACATAAAATATATCTACTTCATTTCTCATATATGGTATATTTTTCTGAATTTATATTTTAATAAAGTTTTCTTATGTAGAAAGTAGATCCAATAATTTAATTTTATCGCATCAATTTTATGAAACAGATATAAAAATGTTTTTATTCTTTCTGCTCTACAAGAACTAACAGCCAACTAATGGGCAGCAAAAATAATGCAACAGTTAGCATGGAGGACAGATTTTGTCAATTGCTGTTTTGTTTAGCTTGAAAACTCCCAATTTTGAATTACTCTAATATGACAGTGCTATACTTTGACAGCAGCGACAAATTTCAGCAATAATAGGAGTTTTGATTGTTCACCCTGTTCTTTTGACTAGGTTAAAATCTTAATTTACTCTAATTCTATATATCTATTACAAATACATCCAACAAAATACCAAATGAATTATGGGATTTTGTTAAACCAGTTAGTCGACACTTGAATTCCAATATACTGGTATACAATGGGAATTGCTAAAATGACAATAACAAACATTGAATGCCACTGATATTCACTGTCAAATTAGTTTTTCCCCCTGTGGGCATTAGTCTTGAGTACCATTTTTTGTATCCATTCATGAATGGGACAACTATGTAGTGAGGGACAGGGCCTGACATATTTTCAAATTGTCTTTCTTTAGTCTCTACTGTGATACAGGTTTCTTAATACATTAAATATTTTTGAGGGGTTTTGTTTTAAAAAATTAATGAAAATAACTTTATATTTTGGATTCATAATTATAAAAAAAGTTTAAAATTATGTCAAAATCCATCAAAATTATTCTTTTTATTCACTTTTCATCACAAGAACTAGCGATGACTGCAAAAGGAAGGTCAGTTCTGTTGTATAGTTCCTGGGACTGAAAGTGAATAAAACACAATTAATTTGGATGATTTTTATATTAAATACTTGCTATGATGCACAAACATCAAATTATAAAAAATTTTAGTTATATATTCTGCTTTCTACACTTAAATCGGGTGTCAAACTTATATAGAATAGAGATCCACTTTTGGTTAACAACTGCACTCGGGACTGCAGTTAATTTGGCTTATTAACCGACCATATTAACCATAAATTAGGTCAAATGATGCACACCATATACAATGCTACGAAGGATACATTTAGATACAAAATACATTCGTAATTTTACATTGCTATAGGAGATTGTTAAATCAGTCAACTCAAGAACAAACTAGAAATAATGTTATTTTAACATCATTGACAAGCTTTATTATTATACATATATTAATTTTACAAAAAATATGTGACTGTCAAACTAACATCAACACAAATTCTAGTAGCATTTCATTAATTTAATAACTTACAACCAAACTTCAATTTAGTGCTGCCATTTGTTTGCCTCCAGAATTGGCACTAAATTGAGTGAGAGACTAAACTGAAATAAATAGCAGTACCAAATTGAAATTTGGCCTTAATTTGTTAAATTAAAATATATTTCTTTGGACTTTTTTTAATGAAAATGTGACATGCTAGTTAATATTTTATTGAAATTTAAAAGTTTTGATACTTAATTTCAATATAACTGTGGATCTTGGCTTTATCGGAACTGATATCTAATTTTAACAGGCTTTAATATATGTAATTAATCTTAATCAGCTGACACAATTATTTACTTGGAACACTCTAGCAATTACTTTACTCCCAACAGAATTAACTTTGTTTAAACTGGTCTTTTGGAATCATTCCAAATCAATGTCCACAATACAAAACTGAAAATGCTTCAATTGTTCTCAAATTGCTTATAAGTTCGAGTTTATGCTTTAAATTATATAAAAAAATATTAATTATTTTTTATTATAATCTTCCAGAACATTCATTTCATATGTGGAAAAGATCCATAATTTCACTTTCCTCTGAACACTGAAGAAAAGACATTACATCTTGGGTCAAATAGTGTCTCATCTGGTGCATTTCCGTAGACCAATGATGACGAAGAGGGTTCATTTCATTAAATTGAGTTGAATCGAATTGCATTATCTCACAGTTTGCATTTGTGGAATATCTGCCGAGAGTATCGTCGATAGGCGAACAGGAAATTGATGCGGCCATATTATCTAAAACTTCAAAATCCATCATATTGCAGTCAGTATTGTTCCAACACATTCTTCCTTCTGAAATCATTTGCTGTTCGGTTTCAAAGTTTTCCGTGAAAAGGTTCAAATCGTGAGTAGTTTTTGAGGTAAGATTTACAGTTAGAGATGTTTCTTTCCCTCCATCTGTTTGCAATAATCCTAGTTGTAAATCATCTGCTTCTATGTCACTTAAAAAGAAATTATTTTCTGAATTTATTACATCATAATATGGAGTATATTTTACATGGAGAAACTACAATTAGATTACTTTTCTTTATTTTGAGAATATAAACGCAATGCAGAAGTGGACGTAGACACTTATTGCAATGGTAGATCGAGAAACCAAAGTTTCAGTAGAAACGGTGGTAATCTGTGAGATTATACACAGATACAGCTAACATTTGAATCCTTCATTGATATCTGCATAACAGAAAAATAGTACTCAAAAGATGAAAATAAAACAGATCAAAAGCTTGACTTGGTCTGCACAGGATTATATTAGCGAGGTTGAAGCCGAAGTTTTAAACGTGAAAACATGTACGTCATTCAGTGCCGCTTTCCTGTAAGCTTGGAAGTTTGACAATGGTGTTTGGAATGTTGGGCATGATTCCACTGACTATCCAAACACTATTGTCAAACTTCTAGTCTTAAAGGAAGGCAGCGCTAAATGTCCGACATACACATTTTCACATTTAAACTTCAGCCTCAGCCTCATTATTAATCCCCTTAAATGTTTTTAACCTATTCATAAGATCTGCATCAGATTTAATCATTCTAAAATGGAATGCTCAAAAGAACAGTCAAGCAATTTAAATTTAAATTCCATAAACAAGCCAATTGGATGTTTTTCCAAGCAATCCTCTAAAGTTCTTTGGTTTAGAGAACAGGTAGAAATCAATATTGCCAAATAGGGATTATATGCCAAGTAAGGAAGTCTATCCTAGTCCCAAATGTTGAAGAGACTCACAATGTCATGAACAATATCAAGCAACAGCAATACTTTACATTCTTACCTGTTCCCCAAGTATGCTGAAGACCTATGTATTTAGTCTAATGAAAACATCCAAGAAGTCTGTAGGTTACATCTGTAGCAAAGCTTCAATTCTATGATCCACCATTACAGTCTATGCCACAAAAGATACTCCATTTTGTGTCATATGTGCCTTTTGTTCCTACATCCATTTAATGTTGCCAGAGTCTGACTTGTTTATATTCAAAATAAAAGAAATAAGGAATCTTACTGTTGAGCTCTCCCTCATACACAAGTCTAACTAATTTGCATTTTAAGTTAATTACCTGATAACATAATTAATACTAACAATACAATGAGGCCTGGAAGATCTGCTGTTATGAATAATGGTAGCATGGCTTTGAATCCACACCCAGCCTCCCTTATTGTGAAGAAATCGATAATATTTTGTCGTCACTTGACCTTTAGTTAACACTGAAAGAGAAATTTCGCCCTTATTTACGAGCAGTAACACATATTGATATGTAAACTTACAATACTTACATATTTCGTGCGAGATACGAAGGTTTAAACAGTCGCATCCGTGGACGTACTGATAGAGAGTGCGTTCTATAAGTTGCTGAGGTTCATAGCCAGTGAGGTTTGCAACCCTTGCAAATAATAATTTATAAATTACATCATTACAATAACCCAAAAATCTTAACACGAATCTTATTTATCACCTCGAGTCTAGAAAAATCAGCCTCAGATCCAGACTTGCTCGAAACATAAACATATTACTGTACATTTTCACTTCTGTGATGGCACTCGGCGGAAGCGAATGCCCCACTGCCACCAGGCTTACATTTTGCAGATTTGTTTCCATTCTACATTGCTTCAGCTTTATATAACCGCTGCAGTGTATTACCTAAACATAAACAAAAATTAAATTTTTTTTTATTTTACTTTGAACAATATGAGATACTTCAAAGAAATGTTAACACTACGGACATATTTGGATGAAGAAGAACTCAATAAACCTTATTGGAAGAAGGACGATTGCAATAGAAACTATGGTTGAAATGTTTTATTAGAAGCTAAAAAGTATACTAAACAGTAGCATACCTTTGTTTCTTTGTAACATGGGCATGAAAGCCATGTGACGAGCAAGACGTCACAGAAAATGTGATTGCAGCAATAGAAGCATGAAATATACCTGATGAATAGCATAGCAACGAAATTTAGTACCATGAAAAAATTAAAACCCCTTGACGCATATATATATATATACAGTAATACCCCGAACTTACGCGATAGGTGGGACCGAGAGATAACCGCGTAAGTCGAATTCACGTAACTCGGGGTATATTTCACAATTTGTGTAAAATTCAAGTCGGATGTATGTAAGCTAATAAATGTTCTCGTTAATCTTATCTCGTCTTTTGATTCGTTCACGGTTACAAGGAATCACCACAGAGTCTCTCGAGTCTCCGTAGATATAACAAACACAGAAATAGCTACAATTTATTTTGTGTTATTTATGTGTCGATTCCGCGCGACACGTCCGAACATGTAAGCTTAACAATAGTGTGGGGGAGTGAGTAATCAAGAGTTGGGTGGTGCTCAAACGACGAATCGACGAGATTTGAAAATCGCGTAAGGGTGCGACTATGCAGACGCGAGCGAGCGAATTTTCCGAGAGAGCGAGAGTATGTGGCGAGAAGAGGAGAAACGCGATAAATATCAAAACCTGTCAGATATGTGCGTGAACCAGAAATTCTCTCTCGCCAGCGTTATTTCTCGCTTCTCGTTTGTGCATGGTTTTCCTTTGCGAAAACTAAATCGCTCGCAACCTCTCGCTCGCTCTAAATTCGCGTCTGCATAGTCGCACCCTAACTCCGGGTTCGCGTAAGTCGAGGTATTATTGTACACACATACATTCATATGCATACATATACACCTACGTTCAGAAACGTGTTAACATTTCCTTTGAAGTGATCTGTACAAATTCTACTCACTTTGTATCCAGATGTGGTCAGTCCAGCATTTCTTTTCGCCAAAATGCACTTCATTCGTAAATAAAATGATTTCTCAATTTCACAATCTGTTAATTTACATATAAATTATTTGATACGGGAATAAAATACTGTATTTAAAAGACATTAATGAAATAATTTTAGGTGATTTTATTTGCTAGAATTTTCACAAAGGATGTTTCAGTCCTTATCTATTACAGATAAATACGAAGTAATTGCGTAAATTCAGCTATAGAATAATTTTTTTTAAAAAAATGTGCATTTATTTAAGTTTAAGAATAAGATTCTCAAGTAGTGGTGTCAAAAGGAGCAGGGACATTGTCACTTTGACCATACTGTAGGCCTATCTAGAAAACGACGTTATGGGCCCCCATTTTTAATTTCAATTTTGGATTCTTCATTGCAATTAATGGAAAATGGCAAAGTTTGAAAAGTTGATTCTCATTTCCGTATTAAAAAAAAAAAAAAATGCAATATTATCAATAAGCAGAATCGTCTTCGTCTAATTCTGCAATATAAATTCTTTCAGTGAACCCGTACTCGTAGTGGTGTCCACCAGAATGGTAACTTTGTGCTTCTGCTTCTTGCCTGTAAGAGCATTTTCCCACACCAAACTATGGACTTTACTGTCTTCAGGAACATCCATGGTAAGGAAGGAAGTGATTTAACCTGACATATCCAGATTAAATCACTCCTGATGTCTATTCTGCCCGGACAATCAATTTAACCTGAGAACATTTAAATTTTTGTCACTATAAATACAAAACAGGCTCGCAAACGTGTATTAACAAACACTGTATGCATGCGTACAGAGATTTCACTACAAAAGAAAACTAAAAGTTAAGACACGTCTTGAGATTGTCGTGAAACCGATAGCTGACGAAGTATTTATTTTAAATTGCCAAAAAATTCTAAATATAAAATAATATATTCTCACTAGATGACTGCATTTCAACAGAGGTAGACTGAAAATTCAATATAGATCTCATTTCCTCCTTATCTTCGGGGTGTATATACTCGTATATATTGTTTCCAGTCATTTCTACCTGAAAAAATTCAAATTAATCTTCGAAAAGTTTCAATTATACCAATTTTCAGCTCTCACCTGAGATAAACCAAGATGGACAGAAGCAGTTTCCGAAACGTACATGATCTTCCCATCAGATGATACGACAAAAACAAACCCATCAAGAGTCTATAGAACAAGGAAAAGACACTATAAACTTATTTCTAAACTTTATTTTCTAATTATAAAATTAAGAAAAGGGACTTTAATTTTACTTGTAAGAGATGCGAACCGAGCTCTCTTATTGTGTCTTCATTGCTGTTAAGGTGAGACATGCCCCATCCTTCTCCCAATCCTGATATAAAGAAAAAAACATGGTTACTGCTATATCCCTTTAGAAAATATATATATAAGTGCTTTAATAGTCTAGTAAGTCACACGTTTCATTGTTCGATCACGTCATGCAGTTTCACGTCTTATTTTACTCTCTCCTGGCTCCTGACATTGATCCTGAATGATTACTGTTGACTCGTGACTGCTTTTGTACGACATTTTACCTTTTGTCGCCCATTTCCCATTCACTACGAGGTCGTTTTCCCTATCTGGTTTCAAATTTTATCTTTAAACTGTGTCTAATGGAATTTAGGAACAATAAATTATCGCGTGGTTACGTTAAATTCGGTTAGTTTTAAAGGTTTAGCGAGTTAGCTTACGTGGGGAAATTTCCCGATTTTTTAATTAATAAAACATAACAAGGAAATTGTCCCATGGCATAGGGAAAATGTCCGAAATTTTTAACCCTTTCCAGATATTTTAGGTGAAAAAAATTAAATTCGGGGAAATTTTTAGTGAAATTGATTTTTAAACATTTTCTTAATTTAAAAAAAATCGGGGAATTTCCTTTCATTCGAAAATTTATGGTAAATATTAAATTTCCCTCGCATTAAATTTTCAAATATGGCAAAACTTTAATTAAATTCCTCTATTAAAGTTTAATTTGAAACGTCCGGAAAGTTTCATACATTAAATCTGGAAATGTGGGGAAATTTCCTTATCCAGAATTAAAAGAAATAGGGAAAAACGTTTAGCCGAAAACTGATAAAATTTGTTCTTTCAGATGGGATTTTTCTATAGAAAATTTTAAATAAAAATATAATTTTATGAAATTTTCCATTCAAAGTAGTTAACGGATAAATTTTATCTAATTTTTTCCCCTATTTACGAAAAAATATAGGGAAAACTTTTAATAACAGAAATGTTCGTTAACAAAATTTATTTTTACAATAATTCAAATAAAATATAGGAAATATTTTCAAATTTTCTATTCCTTGTATATTATATTTAAAAAATTAAAAAAAATTCATTTAAAAATTTCCTTAAAATTTCCTTTTAACGAACGCTTGTCCTTGTATTTTTTCAAATTAATATTTTAAGGATATTTTTTTCTGTTTTTAATAATATAACAATAATAATCCTCAAATATATTTATTCATAATAAGGAATCCTTGTTACAGGGGGTAATGATTAAGATATAAACTATAATATAACAATAATAATAAACAACAATAATATATTAATTTTACAAGTAAGTTCTATTTTAAGTTTCCCGCTATCAAAAAAATCCCCACAACAGGGAAGTTTTTTTTCAAGCCGAAAATCTATCAAATCTTCAAGAATATTTTTGAACATTATTAATTAAATTAATAATTAATGACGTTTGGAATAAATTATTTTACGTCATCGATTCCTGTGTTGTGTCATTATTTAATACACTAAATAACTGTTTTAAAAACTTACCGTTAGGGAAAATTTTCCTCATCTTTAAGTATGATGACGTCAGTCTAATGATAGAAGCTTTATCTAATTGACTAGTAATGGCGACCGGAAGTGGCAACATTCGTGATAATTCTATAAATTCGCAATTTTCTTTTTCTCGTCTCGATCTTGCGGCATTTTTAGATCTTTCCTTCATTTTATTTTATTTTAATTTTTAAAGTAATCGAGGAATTTACACTCTCCGAACACGTATCGAATGGGGTTTGAAGTTACTTTTAAATATATATTCGCTTCCATTACTATGAAAGAAGTTCCCATGACAGATAACTTACGATTGTTCCCATTGGCTAACTTTGGGGTTCGATTGGCTAATCGGGAAATTGTAAACATTGCGCTCGTGACGATACATTTAAAATTCGAATTTTCGTGGGGTCTAAAGGTCGACAGAGGTCGAAAAATAAGTAATTAAGTAGTATAAATCACATAAGCCAATCCGTTTTATTTTCAGAAACGGTCGAAGTAATGGTTTATAAAAGGGAAAAACTGGGAAAATGTTTTAAAAATTCTAGGGAATTTTTAGCCGCGTGAGGGAAAATTGGGGACTTTTTTATTATTTATAAATTTCGATGCCAGTTTAGGGAAAATTAAAAGTTTAATGAAAATTGAGGGAATATATAGGGATTTTTCTCTGGCTATATCGATTATAAAAGTTATTTTGCTTCAAAATTTTCAAAATAATAGTTTTCTATGTGTAAATTTATGTGAAGAAAACGAATTTAAAAATTAGAATTAAAAATTTTAAAGTTTTAATGAAACTTTAAATTTTTTTTTTAATTTGGAGGAAAAAATAATGCTTAAGGAAAAGTAGTGAATATTAGGGAAAAATTTCTAATATATTTTTAAATTTTTGTAGAATATTCCCTAATATCCCTGCATTTTATTATAATAGATGGCCGTTATCATTTTAATACTGTAATTTATTTTGGAAATAAATAGCTGCAAGTGCTAAATTATTTTAGGGATATTTTATTATTTTATAAAAAATTCTACATCTTTGTATCCATCAAAATAATAGAAGTTAGTAAGGATAATGAGGGAGATTTTATTTTATTTTTAGGGAAGAGACAAGTTTTAAATTCTTTCCAATAAATTTTGAAAAACGATTGAAGTAATGGAATTTATATACAGTTGAACCACCAATAACGTACAGTACATCTCTTTAACGGCGACCATTTTTAATTAAAGAAACGTTTTTTTAAGTGCATACAAAATAACCTCTAAATAGCGGACATATTTTCGTGTTCCTGTTATTGGCCGTTGTTGAGAGGTTTGATTTATTTTTTAAGAAGAATTTATTTATGCAAATTACATTTATTCAACTTAATGGAAACGTTGCATACAATATACCAGGAAACTGAAGATATCACTTTTTTTTTTAACATAAATATCACAATCTTTGCCTTATAAATATAATATATTAAGCGTTATATATAAATATAATTTTATTAAAAATTATTTAATTTAATAGGGAGGATAAGCCGATACAACTTTATGTGTATCGGCTGCAGCGTGATAAGGATAATTCACGTAGGGTGATGCTTTAGCGTAAGGGGTGCTGACGTAACGATAAGGACCCGAATACACCCCGGGTAAAGGAAGCTTTAATGCTGTTAATGGTGAGGAGTAAGCAGGATCTGGGTAAGACGAAGAGGCTCCTCCTGGTTCATTGCTCCTGACTTTAGCTCTGAATCCATAATCATCGGCTACGTAATCCACGATGCGTTTGCGCCCGTCCGCATCCGTTAATCCATACGATCCTCTCACATGACCGTATGCGTTACCCTTCTCTTCCCTAAAGTTATTAGAGCCGTAGGGACCTCTCACGCCGTAACCGAAGTTGTAGTTACCGTAATTCTGAAAATATTAACAAAAAAATGAAAAAATCTTGCAGCATAACCGATCTCCTTTGAGGTCGCTTTACTGCTTTGTTATTAATTATATTCAAAAAATTCCTCGCGTGAAAGATAGAAGCACACGTATACAAAAGATATTCTGAGAAGCTTTTACATTGCTCAATATAATAATAATTTATCGCGAAGAAAACAATTTGTTTGCGATTGTTATGATTTTCTCTTCTGTAAATTGTTGACTTCCTGTTATTCGTCTAAGCATAAGGTCCGTTATTAATTTATAATAAAATGTTACTCACGTCTTGGGTCTGATAGACATCGCTGTTTCCCCCGATATCGGGGACGTAACCCGAAAGAACAATGGCGACGACACTCGAAAGAACAATTAGCGATACCTGGAAAATAGGAAGTGATGTACTTAAAGAACACTACATTTGGGTCAGATGATAACATGTTTGTTACAACAAAACAATAACACTTTATTGAATACTCTCTAACCCCCGTTTCCGAGAAATTTTGTACACTGGTTAGAGCACATGCCGCGTGGTCGCGTCGCGTCGCATCGCTTCTGAAGCAAGCTTTATACTCTCTTAACACTAATTTCTTTGAAAAATACATTTTAAATAATTGATTAATTATCTACATAAATTTAAAAAAAAGGATTTTATTAAAAATTTAAACATTTTTAACGTTTATAAATGTTTTTTACCCTAGATGCGCGGCGCGACGCTTAGCCAAAATGACAAAAATAGTCACTTTCTACCAATAATATTCAGATATAATACAAATAAATATTCGAAAAAATTATTAATATATTAAATTAAAATTTTAAAGGATTTTCAGTAGAATATATTTAAAAATTTAATTATTATAAAAGAAATCATACACGAATTTTTAATTACACTTCGATCTCGCTGGCGTCGGGTCGCGTCGCTTCGCTTCACAAACCAGTTCTATACAATCATCAATACTAAGCGATTTAATAAAATAACAGATTTATCTACGTAACTTGCGAAAAAAATAAGAATTTCTTTCAAACATTGAAACGTTTTTAACATTTTAGCGAAATTGACGCGCGGCGCGACACTGAAAATGCACTTTTATCAATTACATACAAAAAGGCATTTATTAGAACTAGAATGAAATTGCATAAATTCACTTTCTTAACAATTTATTAGAGGAGTGACGGTCGTAACGCTCGTCACTGTTTAAAGAATTGTATAATAATTCACTAGAAATGTCTCCAAGCGTAACAAATGAGTTACAAAATGAAGAATTTTACAATTTAACGCTCGTAATTTCCGACAAGAGAAAAAACAATTTCGATCATCTTTAAACAATAAAGGACCTTACAAAACACTAGAGAAGTTAATAAACAATTAAATTAAATTGTTTCTTCTAAAGAAACTCACCTGAAAATAATGCATTTTTTGGCGTCCAAGACGGGGAGATTCTACACCTTTCAAAGAGTCCAACGGAACCTTTTTATATATTCATCAGTACGTAACGGGGCGTAGATCGGTCCCACCCAAAGAACCCATTTCTTATTTTTTGAAGAGGGCAAAGATGTCTCTTCAACAATAGAACAGAATACAAGTTTTATGACTCCGAAATGGGGCATTTCGTAGGTGATATATTTTGCGAAACTGCCCATTGTCCGAAAGGTTCCAAGTGGGATGCATCTATGACACGTTTCTAGTTAGCTATACCTCATTATCTTGTCTGGTTTGTTAAGAAATTGCGAAGGAAGAAGTGTTATTTTGTGTACCAACCACCCCCTTTCTCTTAACATGCCGAGTGTTTAATAAAACTGGTTGTTATTTCATACTCTATCTAGTTCGTTTCGTGTGATAAGTTGAACGTTTCTAGAACGGGACGTTTTGCGTGTTCGTGTTTAATTTTTTTTTTTAAATTTCTGTAGTGTTTCGGGTACATTGAACACTAATCCCGTGTTTTACTAAGTAATTTGTATCTAAATCGAATTTTTTATGATATTTCCGCCATTTATTCTTAAGGAAGTTGTAGAGTAATGATGGATGTGTGTCAAGGATTTACATAATATTTTTTAATCTTGTTAATTAATAGAAGAAATTTTTATGTAAATTTTTACAGTATTGGGAGCCGTAATAGAGGAAAACCATTGTTTTTCTTCACTAATTTTTTCAATTATCATAATTAACGATGTCTATGAATCGATATCCTAATTACTTTTTTTTTTATCTCTGTTTATTATGCCAAAATATTTTAAAAATTAAAAATACAATTTATTATAAGTAATTAATTTTAAAAGTTTTAAAATTAAAGAAATTATTCATTTTAAAATAATTATAAAAAGTAAATTTTATAATTATTTTAAAAATAGCTCCATCTGTCGAGAATCGGAGTTACTATTCCGTACAATAACCCCAAAATATAATTATTTAAATAAAATTTTTTTGTTTAATACGAAACAAGAGAAACATTTCAGTCGCTACAAGGTTTTTATTTGTAATTTCTGTATAAAAAAGGGAAATTATTTCCCTCTCTTTTGTGCTACCGAACCATTCTTACTACTAACCTTCTTACTCACGTGACCGGAAGTTTGCTTGCCCAATTTTTGAATTGAGGGTTATTTATTGGAACTTCCGTTACAAAAGCAACCATTTTTTCTAAATTATTTAAATAATAAAATTAAACTGAAAATTGCGTTTAAAAAACACACAAATGTCGTCACAATACTTTTATTTGTGTTTGAATTGAATTCTCGTGTTTTTAAATGGGTCGAAAGCAATAAAAATACTTTATTTTGTTTTTGGGTAATAAAAATTTTTACTGAAAACTAAAGAAAAATATTATTATTATTTTCTTTAGTTTTCAGTGGAAAAAAGCCGTTTTATTATTCATTTTTAGGAGGTTCTTTTAATGAATGGCTATTGTCCATTCATTATGTATAATGAGAATTGTCGGGTTTACGAGAAAATTTTATTCAATATTTAAATTTTTATAACCTTCTTTCAAGTGTTTAAAGCGTTTCTGACTACCACTGAAGTCTGTTGTCTGTCTGTCATCTGATAACGAATTTATCGTTATTAATAAGTAATAAACTAATAAATCTACGTTATTTTGATTTGAAAATGTTCTCAATATTGGCACTATTATATATTTAAATTTTTAAGACGATAAAATGTCACGAACGAAAGTTATTTACGTTTAAATAGCCTACGTCGCAAACGTTTGCGCGGCGCAAACGTTTGCGACGCGAAGTGTCATGGCGGTTGTAATATTTTTCACGTTGTGTTTCGGGTGTTAAAATTCTTGTTTTGTGAGGATATAATTTAGTTTCGCTTCAATGAACGATTTATTGATCTAATTAACTAAAATAATTGTAATTAAAATGCTTTACTTTTACAGAAAAAAGAATCTATTGTTTTATTTGCGTGTTGAGTGGATGATAGATGATTTTCGCCATTTTAATAGCTTAATTGCTGCTAAAACGTGTCGAACGATGCTCCATTTTCTTCCTTGTGAAATTAGTTTTATTGCCTGTTGTTTATTTTCGCTGTTAAAAAATTATTTTTATTAGTATTATGTATTGATTACGTAGCTTCACCGTCACTTCGTATCCATTTATGAATCGAATGCGACGGATAGGTTGCGAAGCGTCACGACGCGAACATGACTATAAAAGTATTAATAACTTTCGTTTCTGATGTGATAAATTCATTGTCCGGAGATAGACAAACGGACAGACCTGAAAAGAAACTGGAAATAAATATTTCGAGTCTTTTCATTGTTGATATTTATTGTTTTCTTGGAACAAATGTCGAAAATAACGAGTCCTTGACATTGTTTTTATTTTTATTGCTCCTTATTAGTAATATTTTTCAATGTTAAATTATTAATAACGCTGAAAGTTGGAGGTTGGCAACACTTGCAAGCAGGTTTCTCAATCAGGCCCTGTCACAGGGGGCCTGCAGGCAGTGAGAGACCCTCAAAACATGTATTGAAACCGATTCATTTCATCGCATTTCTTGATTTTCTAGGCTCCTCTAGGCCTGGAATTAAAGAGCCTATGCCTTCTCCTGATCTCCGAGAGTCCTTTCCTCAATATTCTATATCTGAAAATAACATTAAAATAACAATTCATTTGTATTAACTTCTAGCACTCATACGGCAACTACTATTGGGAGGGGCGAAACCGGGCCCTATTCAGTCATAAATATGGGGCTCCTTCATCGACTGCCATAAAAATAAGGAAATATAACCAATAAAACTAGATATTGTTTTTTACTAATTTGCCAATTTCTAAAGGGCCATTTGGGGCACAAAAATGCCCCCAGGCAACCTCGATCCCATTTAAAGCAAAAGGCCTCATAATTTTAGTAAAAACCTTCAGAAATTCTAAGGAATTTACCTCCTCTAACCGCACATTCCTTAGAAAACGATCGAACATTTCCCCCTTCTAACCACACCACAACCTTAAACAGAACATTCCCTAATTGCATTCACCTACCCTAATTAAAATGCCTTTTAAAATACGAGCGATGGAAGCGGACAGACAGACAAACAGACGGATAGAAATGTCCTTGTAGTTATTATTCCGGATGTTGGTTAACTCGAGGGTTCTCCAATATTAGAATAACAAGTAGGAATTCCTTGACATTGTATGGAAGTCACGAAGAAAAGTGAAAAACCATTCAACGATACGACCTTGTTACGCACGATCCAATAGGAAATGGTAACTTATAGCACTTTTGAGTAACACAAGAAAAAATAAATAAATAAAATAATAAGACGCGTAACAATCGTTCGAGCGTTTCACCTTGTTGCTTTTAATTACACAATAGTAGAAGGACGCCATTTTATATTTTGACCTCCAAAACTTTCGCTTTTTTTCTTCCTTTTGTTAACTGTTATCTTCTATCTTACTCTATATACAGATTCTATGTGCTGTTTCTCTGTTTACCTTCATCTGATAAGCTAAGAGGCCCTACAGATGAGGGGAATGAAAAACTCTTAACACACGCAATTTACAGAGGAATTTTATATTCAAACCACTTCTTTCTTTTTAATTCTTAGTGTTACTTTCCTTCTTACGTATAGATCGGTTAACTGACTTTTGGACCACCTTGTTTATGCTGTATAATGAGCAAGTTGCGAGTCACTCTACTGGAAAAACGTGCATTTTAGAGAGAATATTTAAAAACTGTTAAATGTATTGTCTGATTTCTTACGTATAGACCGGTTGACTGACTTTTGGGCCACCCCTGTAGGTCTCTATTGGAAAAACGCTCAATTTTACAGGGAATTTCTATATTTAAATTAACTTTTTAATTGTTAAACTAATTATAACTGACTTTTCAACCACCCTGCACGCGAAGTAATACTTCGCGTGCAGGGTGGTTGAAAAGTCAGTTAACCGCGAGACGTTTTTTAAGTTTATTCGCTGTATTAATCCGATTTTTAATCGTTATTAGAAGAAAATATCGGTCAACTGACTTTTGGGCCTATACATAATATGCAAATTAATTATAACTCCGATAAGCAACGCGAAATATCGAAGTTTTATTATTTACTAACTTTTTTTTTAATTTAATTCAATTTAATTTTGTTAAGAAATCCGTTAACAATCTCCGAACGTCCGTATGTCTGTCTTACGAGGTTATAAATATAATTTTGCGCAATATTAACGAAACAAAAGGTATTTTTATGTATTGCAAACATTTGTCGAGTATAAAATGAAAGCTTTTCCAATAAGTTAATAGACAATTGTTACGTACAATGACCAGAAACTTACATCATCCTGTTTTGATTGTATTAACACTCGAACGAGAGCGTTTAGTTATGGTAGAAGGGTGTTACCCGCTGCACGTGGTCCCACTAACCCATATCGTTTCATTCTATCAATACAAGATTGTTTCTTATCCTTTGAAGAAGACTACGAGCCATTTCTAAGTTTAAATAAGTGAAATTTTAGATTTTTATGTTATATTTTAGAATTAGAAGTGAAAATATTCTTCAAATTCTAAGCGAGACCTGTTAGAAACGAAATTACTCCTCAATTTCTAAGCAGTTTCAAGAGCAAATAAAATGTGTTTTATGGCGGTGTAACGTCATATCAACAAGAATTTGAGCTCTTTCCCAACCTCATTAATTGCATTAAATATTAAAATTTCTAAATTTGGAGGTCATTCTATTAAAATAACACGTGATTAATGTTTCGATTGTCTTTCCCGATAGGTATTCTTTAAAAAGAAAAGAAAAGAAAAAAAACACAGCTAAAGACCACAGCTTTCTGGACTTATGCCACTTTATACCTGCCAAAAGCATCCTTAAATCGATATTATATGACTTAATTGTTTGCTACGTAACACGTTTTCTATAACGTTGCACGGTTTAGCATACAAACTCCACGCTCGACCACTCCCAGATTACTAAACGAAAGGGAAACTAGTTTCTTTTATTATTCAAGGTGAACAGAACTGGAGGTCATTTCATCTTGTCTTCACCACAATACTCTGCGTCACACCCCTTTTCTTTAACTTCGATTGACTGCAGTCACGTGCCCGAAGATGTTACGTCACGATACGCTATATAGTGACGGAGTGGGGGTGGTTTTTTTCATTTGTTGTGGCGCCCTGGTGTTAGGATGTTGTTTAATATCGTAAGTTGTGACGTTACGCTGTGTTTTCTAATATTTAAGAATGTTACGCTGTTCTTTACGGTTTCCTTTTAAAACTGTTGTTTTTACTTATTTTTAGTTGTTAATCTTTGTCGTTACGGTAAATTCGAATCACGTAGCTTCTGCAACTGGAGGAATCAGTAACCAGCACCATCAACAAGACGTGAGTTTCATTTGTTTCTTATTGATTTTTTTTTCTTTCTTTCTTTAATTAACTTCTAATTCGAAACATTCCTTAGGATGCTGGAAATTATAATTTTGGTTACGATGTGCAAGATCCCGGCAGTCATCATTTCAGAAGAGAATCAGGGGATGCTTACGGGCGCGTTGTAGGATCGTACGGTCTTTCAGAAGCGGATGGCAGACACAGGATCGTCGATTACGTTGCTGATGAATATGGATTTCGAGCCAAAGTTAGGACCAACGAACCGGGTACACGATCCGAAAATTCCGCTGCTGTAGAGGTTTTAAAACCCGGTCACCCTCCAGGACCTCCCAGAATCCCAAATCCTGTAGTTTCCCCGGCGCCCGCTCCACCTCCTCCACCTCCAGCTGATCCTCCGAGTCAAAATATTCTACCGCCCCCGTCTTCGGTAAAATCCTACGTTCCCTACGTTAATGCTCCTTATAATTATCCTTACTATTACTCACCTCTGCCAGCTAATTCTTTATACCCTCTCCCCCAAAATAAATACCCGGAATACATTCAGCATCCCCAAAACCCCCAAACCATTCCGAACCCCCAAACCATTGCGAAATTTGTAGATCCTTATAGTTATAAATACGTCCAACCGCTTCATCCCACTTCCACTCATCAGAGCCAAAAATATTCGTCAGCCTTAGTTAATAACCCCCCATTGCTCCCTACTCAAGCTAATTACAATCACCCCGCCGATGCCACTAATTACAATATTGGCCTCATAAGCTCAAAGTTGCCATCCAACTATAGAGTGGTACCCATACCTAACGGTATACAGGCGGTCCCAATTGATTCTTCAAGCGCTTCTAATTTGGGTGGGGGTGTTTATCAGCCTTATAACTACAATGTGGATAGAAACTACCCGCGTGCTACTTACCCCAGCAGGGATTTGAGCTACGTAGACACTAAGAAACAGAAGTCTTACTACGCTTATCCTCCTACGGATTATCGTTACGCCGGAAGCAGACAGAGCAAGTCTATTACGCGAGTTTCTAAGAGTGTGGAGCAATGAATATGATTTTTATGTTTTTATAACATTTTTAATTGTTTTTTTAAAATGTTTATCGCTTGTATAATATAAGGTTTACTGGGCCAAATATTAAATAAATTCTTTTCTAAGCTGTGTTTGTGTTTCTTTACAATTTTTATGCCATTAAAGTAGATATACTTAAACATAATCGGGATCCTTATAATTGAGAGTAATTGGGCGTCTTCTTAGTGATCATAAAGAGGAGGAACCACTTACTCTATGGGTGCTAAGATGATCTGATAGCCGAGGCGACAAAGACACTAGCTTACATATTTTCCTTTTTGGACACTAAAAAGCCTTTTTTTTATTCCCAACTTCAGTTCAGACAGATTCGCAAATAGGAGCACCAAGCGGAGAGGGATGGGGCTTTACGCCTCCAGAGTTTTATCACCTCCATCATTTGTCCTGCGTTATCTTGTTGCTGTGAGGGCCCGGATCTGAACTCCAAAAATGTTCGTGGTTAATGTAATCACTGCGTGTTCTCGTCCACCAATTTTGGTAGGGTTGTTTATTCAGATCCAAATTGGTAGTGCCCCACGTGTTTGAAACCATGAGACACTTCAAATAAATGAGACTTTTTCGATATCAAGAAATAAAATATCATGCAAGTAGTAATTAGTGTTTACGATTAAGACAATTTTGTAGACATAAATCTTGAAAAAATATTAATATACATGAAGTTCTGTAAACGATTTCATTATTGCGTTTTCAACAATGCAAACAATGTTAGTATTTTCTAACCATGTTTACAGAAGTAAATAGTTTTACAAGTGTTTTCGAATCGAGATAAAAGATGAATATATGCGCTATATTCGTGGTAATTTTACCATTACAGTAGAGCGTCGTTTATCCGAATCAATTGGGGACTGGGGTTGTCCGGATAACTGATGTTTCGGATAACCGATTATGTACGAAAAAATAGTTTAACGTATCCGATGCCGAAATTTTTCTCCGTTGCGTGTCGCTTCGCGTTGAATTTTCGTCAATGTTAAGCCTAACGAAGACTATTGTATCGTTAAAAATTATTTTTTTATTTTGTACGAACAAAATAAATATATTGAAAAATATAAAAACAATAAAAAATTATACTTTAGAAGTTAATTTAGTATCAAAAACGTAAAATATTTGAGTAGCCGAAGACATAGCCAAAGATTACAGCGCCACAGCACTGGCGAAAATTTAAATTTGTCAACTGGAATTCCTTCGGATAACCGACGTTTCGGATAACCGACCTTCGGATAAACGACGCTCTACTGTATTTATTTTAATCTATGCTCCATGGGGCAAAACTATAGGATACGTCTAAAAGAGAAATTCGTGAGTGATCCAAGTTCGTTGCTTCTCAATTCTCCAACGGAGGAGGACGTTGCTTACAATGAAGACTTGAAGAATGTGTTTTCAATACAGTTTAAAAACAAAAATGGTGTCCTTGTTCCACGAAGCAAGTCGAAAATTCGAAAATTGGAATGGCTCGTGGGACCATAGACTGAAAGAAATAAAAAATTACCAATGGACACGATCAAGAACATGCCGACTTTGAACAAAAGCAAGGTGTAACTGGACCAAAAATAATTTTAAAAAATCGGCCGTACCATATCCAACATATTGGTGGCTTACCTTATAATATCGCTGATACTTCTACTTACTACTGCGCTCGTGTACTGTACATCTGCTTTAAGATATTTCATGAAAAACAGTCTAAACCAGAGAAATGCGAAGTAGGCTACCTCAATAACCAAAGTCCATCTTCTACGTCGATATTGATTCGCTTCCGCTTGATGAGCACGAAAACCAGATATCAGAGTCGGCTTTTTACGTCAGTTCGGAAGAGGAAGGCATAGAAACTGTTTTGCTAATGGAAGAAACATTGGAAGGCGAAGATATTGAAAAAACAATTCCGTTATTATTTCCGGAATCAACGACACCGAAAACCGAAAAGGACGAGTCTCATTCTTCTTCGTCGAATGGGGTCAAAACTGTACAGACGATGACCAAAGTTAAAAGTCCTGAAGACAGCTGCTCTCAGAGTGGTGAGAGAGGAGGCACAACTTATCCATGAAAATTTCTATATTAACTCGAAGTCGAAGTGGTTCACTTAAATTGAAAAGCTGACATCTTCCATCATTTATTATTGGTGTTAGCCAATTACTATGAAAGATCTGGACTAAAACCCAATTTAATCCTTATAATTTACCAGGGGTAGCATAATCAGAATCATAACATGGGCAGTACAGCCTCAATCGTATAAGAAAACCCGATTCATACGCTAAAACTTATAGATAGCACGGCATTGCTTCCATTTGCAATCTTACTGATCGATCCCATTGCGGATCAGGCCGGCCTGTAATGGACGTATTGTACTTGGCCATTTTGGGGGGTATTTAATGGCATATAAATTCATACAGTCTATTGGCGGAATTATTATCAAGATTTAAAGAAAAAATAAATAAATCTTTGATTTTAATTAATTAATAATAAAACCGTTAAATATGCATAGCACGTTTTAGTTGCTGGGAATCTAAGCACGTAACTATTGATATTTATTGCCTTTTAAATTATATTATAAAGAAAATTTATAATATTTTTCCTCGTTGTTATTCATTCACGAAATATTTTATAATATAAGAATTTTATAAATTTTTATTATTTACTTCTTCTAAGATAAATCTCCAGGAATTTTTCGGCAGTATGACGGTCCCCATCCCTAACCTCCCACCCGCCCCATAGTGGGCCTGGCCGAACCCATAATGGGCTTGCTAAGAGAGGCCATCTTAGGACCCACAGGGTGGCCGGATGGTCGAGCGGTTAAGGTGGCAGCCTAACTCTCTAGGGACCCGGAAACGAATCCGAAAGGGTCGAAAAATCCCCAGGAATTTTTCGGAGGTTGGTCCGTTCGAAAGCCCCGTCTCTCGTCACCCGGCCGCCCCATTGTGGGCCTAACTGAACTCATAATGGGTCTGCTGAAAAGAGGCTCTATTAGTGCTCACAGGGCGGAAAGAGTTTTAAAAACATCTTTAAAAGTAATTAAAAAGTACACTTCCTTTTGGCATGTATAAATTATCGTAAATGGCCTTCAGTAGCAATTATAAATTTTAGAAAAATTCAAACATGCGAAGGTAAGTGTTCGGAATTTGAATTAGTTTATCAATATTGAATTTATTAATTTAATTTTATACATAAAATTTCTTTTTTTTATCTTTATTCGAATAATTCTGATAATAATTCGAACACGGAAATATGATACAGGTGCAAATTTATAAGAAATTTCCATGAGTATTTACTTTTCAGTAGTTTCAGTTGATGATTTATTCACTTATTATTAATGCTGAAAAAGTATTTTTTATCATGGGTATTATACGCATACATTAAAGTGAAATATAATATATTTGTGTTCATAAATTTCTGTCACCTGCCAATCAGATAATGATTTTTTTATGTTTAGTAAAATTACTACAAGTGAAATTAATATAGCCAAGGTCGCGGCTTTTTCAATTTATTAAGTTGTTAATATATGGGTATAAAATAAACCAAAAATTCTAAATAATAAAATGCTTTTTGAACATTAAAAAATTACGTAAAATTTTAAAAATTTTATTTTAAATAATTAGCATAGATTCTATTGTATTCCACTTCGTTACGAGCGGGTCCGACCCGCAATAGGGTCGAAAGTGCAATAAGGTTAGGGCCACTCGATTTAAACTGTGTTAAGAATTTTAAAAACGAGTCGCATCCATTAATGACAGTTCTAAGTGGATGAGTAAGAAGTGAGAATATCCTAATATGTAGCCAATTTCTTGTAAATTCATAAGAAAGAGACTGTGTAATAAGTTTTGTTGCTGCGTGACAGCGAGAAGCACTCAGGAGGATCCGATTCGTGAGGCTCGAAGAGGATTACGTCTTTCCTTAATGAAGAAATAACTATAATCGGAAATTGAAATTAAGTAATATGGCATATTTAATTAGTAACTTAAAATTTCTTCGTCACTAAAACATAACCCCGATGGCCGGGTGGCCGAGCAATTAGAATGACAATCTATCGCTCGGGGGAACCGGAACCAAATTAGTAAATTTTCGACTCCTCAGTAATTTTTTCGGGAGTTGGTCCGTTTGGATATGTTGAACTTCATTATGGGTTTGCTAGAAAGGCCATAATGGGCTTTCTAGAAAGGTCTCTCACGGAGCAGAAAAAGGTTTTAAAAAATGTATATATGTATATATTTTAAACATAACGTAAATTTTTTATTTTTATAAATTAATATTTTTAATTGTTCACAACGGATTAAAAAATTATCAAATTAAATAATTTTTACAACCCGCACTGAAACGTAGCCAAATTTGGCTACTTACTTATCTCGATAATCCGTCATTAGAACCATCGACCCGCAGGTGATCGAGCACGTTGTTTCTTTATAAGAAAAATGGCATTACACGTTCCTTTAGCGCCGGGAATATCCCAAATGTTAAAAGAAGGGGCTAAAGTAAGATAAATTATATTATTTTTCTCGTTACTACGTTATTTATATTATTATTATTATTACTAAATATTTCGGTTCGTACGAAGTGAAAACGTGGTGAGTCGGTTTAAGCCTAAACTATGAATGAGATGAAACTGAAATAATAGATCCATTGATCAGTTTCAAAATTTCTATTTCGTTCTCGTCATTCGAAGGCTAAAATAGTAATTTTACGCGTGTTTGACGGGTTGATTAGCCATTTTACATTAAATTTTTCCTTTGTGGTGACTTCCTCTCCCACGCCTTTATTTTTCCCAATTTTGTTTTTTAAATGTAAAATTCATTTTATGATGATCTTTTGTGCTTATAATTATCCTTATTAATGCTGTTGTTGTTGAGTTTCAAAATAACGTGGCTTTTCTATCGTTAAATTATTATATTTTTCCATTTTATGAACAGGTGTTCTAGAAACTTCTGTGCAGGTAGCCTTAAAACAAAGGGTCTAATCGTTCTTATTTATTATTTGCCAAATGATGAAGGTATGCGTTTGTGTCTCTGTGCGATCTGGATTTGAGTCCCGAATATTTATAATAGGTTGTTTGATCGGTAATATTGCAGATGTGAATGGGACTGTTTGGACCTTAACGGAGCCAAAGAGCGTGCTTGTAGCAGCAGAAAAGTCAAAGGAACCGTAACTCTGTGTGATACCCTATACGAGATGTAGCCTCCCGAAATTGGACACTTCTCGGTGCTATAGGGAGTGGCCCGCCGGTGACTGAGCGGTTCTGTTCCCTGGAGTTTGGTCGTGGAGAAAAGTCCAACATGCAACACTTTGCAATATAAAGTATGCAAGAAACTTTTCTCTGTCCAGAAAATATATATAGAAAAAAGTTTAGTTTTACCTTGCAATATATTTGCCTCCAAATTGAAACCCCGATGGTGTCCGTTCTGGTTGCCATCTTGCTTGCGGAGGTCGTGTTTGCGAGCAAATTTATGTTTTGGGCATGGCAACCAGTGCTCTTTAATGTAAATAATGAATATATTAATGTCTACTGATCAAAAATAGTTTTTACCTTGAACCAATACTACTCTCCGTACTGTGCATATAGTCGTGGGTTTTGGTGCTTGCTTTGCTATGGCTGTGTGAATGCAGAGATGAGAACCTTTGCATCTACACGGCCGTAAAACTATGTATCGAGTACTCCGTGAATAGTCAAGTGGGCTACTCAAAGCTGGCATAGTCGCTTTATTTTTAATTATTTAAATAGTTATAAATATAGAGATTAGGCCTAGTAGAGATGGACAATATGAAAATATCTTCTCAAAATTTATTCAGGTTATGCATGCTGGATGTTTCAGATATGTCCTACTTGATAAGAACAAGCTGAATAGTTAAACATGATAGTGTTAGCAGAGTGCAAGGCGCGACTCCCAAGCATACCCTAGATGTAGGTTCATTTCGGGATGCTATATCTCACCAAGGGTCACATATAGAGGTATGCTTCCTTTCATGTTTTTGCTCCTGTGGGCATGCTCTACAACTCTGTTAAGCTCCCAACAGTTTCATTTGCATCAATTGTGCCATTTGATCTTGATGTATTTGGTTCTGTTCTTGCCACTTGACCAAACTTACAGTTAGCAAGGAAAAACCCTTTTTATTGTCATGGAGGAAAGGATTTTAAAAAATAAAAGAAATTGTTTTTATTCTTTAATAAAATAGAATTCATTAATATTTAAATCATGCACAATTTATCATTTTATAAATATTATATTACTGTGTTTTCATCACTGATATTATGATTGAGCTTAACATTGGCTTGTAATTCAACAGTGAAGACCGGTTCATACTTCGTGTCAATAGAAAAGAGAAGAAATTACACTAAATAGGTATAGTGCATAATACTCTGCATTACTATTGTCATATTTCTATTCTCTTGGTTAGAGAGAAAGTCTATGGAAGTTCTATCTTTCTCCCTTTCAATAACCCACAATTCTTTGCATTCTTTATCATGGAGACCAATAAAGTTGAAAACATTAGAATTAGAGCAGAATTATTTTTGATGAATTATAATTTATTGTTTATTTAAGTTAAACATATCTGACTAGATATCTTTTTGTAGACCTATACATTTAAAACTTACATAGAATATCAAAATGTCTTTAATTTCTTTTGTAAGGTTATAATAGTTTCCATTATCTCCTCTTCTCAAATTACTGCAATTATAGTCAAGTGGGCTACTCAAAGCTGGCATAGTCGCTTTATTTTTAATTATTTAAATAGTTATAAATATAGAGATTAGGCCTAGTAGAGATGGACAATATGAAAATATCTTCTCAAAATTTATTCAGGTTATGCATGCTGGATGTTTCAGATATGTCCTACTTGATAAGAACAAGCTGAATAGTTAAACATGATAGTGTTAGCAGAGTGCAAGGCGCGACTCCCAAGCATACCCTAGATGTAGGTTCATTTCGGGATGCTATATCTCACCAAGGGTCACATATAGAGGTATGCTTCCTTTCATGTTTTTGCTCCTGTGGGCATGCTCTACAACTCTGTTAAGCTCCCAACAGTTTCATTTGCATCAATTGTGCCATTTGATCTTGATGTATTTGGTTCTGTTCTTGCCACTTGACCAAACTTACAGTTAGCAAGGAAAAACCCTTTTTATTGTCATGGAGGAAAGGATTTTAAAAAATAAAAGAAATTGTTTTTATTCTTTAATAAAATAGAATTCATTAATATTTAAATCATGCACAATTTATCATTTTATAAATATTATATTACTGTGTTTTCATCACTGATATTATGATTGAGCTTAACATTGGCTTGTAATTCAACAGTGAAGACCGGTTCATACTTCGTGTCAATAGAAAAGAGAAGAAATTACACTAAATAGGTATAGTGCATAATACTCTGCATTACTATTGTCATATTTCTATTCTCTTGGTTAGAGAGAAAGTCTATGGAAGTTCTATCTTTCTCCCTTTCAATAACCCACAATTCTTTGCATTCTTTATCATGGAGACCAATAAAGTTGAAAACATTAGAATTAGAGCAGAATTATTTTGAAGAAATAAAAATTAATGGTTAATTAAAGTAAAAAAAACCGAACAAAAAACCTTTTGGAAAACCAAACATTTAAAACTTACATAGAATATCAAAATGTCTTTAATTTCTTTTGTAAGGTTATAATAGTTTCCATTATCTCCTCTTCTCAAATTACTGCAATAATCTAATTCAAGAATTTTATGACTTGGGCTTCACTTTTGCTACACTTTGCAAGTTATATTTTACATTGCAAGTACTGAAAGCACACATGCAATTCTCTTTCAGTCTTTTGAAGTAATAATGCTTATGAGAAGAGAATAATAGAAGAGAAGAGAGACATTTTTTTTTAATAATTGAATTTATATTTAGACATTTTTTTTTTCTATACTTGCAAAGAATGAACTGGCCTTAGTACATCAGAACGGCAGTTCTTAACTCATTTTTATTATGGAACTCTTTTAACCTTATTAAAAAATGTTGGAACCTTGACAATTTTTAATGATTATAGATTAAAAGACAGAAAGAAACATCAAAACAATTTATTGAAAATGCAAAGAAACCAAAAAAAAAAAAAAAGATTAATAATGGAAAGCAAATATTATTACTTAAATTCAAACTGGTCATTAATGTGAAAGGTTAAACTTCTTTTCTTTCAATATTTTGAAGAGCTAGTGCCTGGATTTATACTTTTGTTTGTATCCACCCTTTGTCTCCTTGTCACTAGAAACATTTAGAGTGCGTTTACTTCTGAGCTAATTTTACTATCAGCACGCTCAGCCTGTATACTTTCGTCTGAGTGCCACGCTCATTGGCGTTTACTTTAGAGCTATGTGACGTCGTGTTTAGCAAAATTGGTAAGCGCGGAGTGCTAGCTAGTTCATTGTTGAGCTTTGTACTAATTCAATATAGCTGCTCTCATGAAAAAATTACTTTCTGTACAAAGTACTAAAAATGGAATTAGTTTTTGAAAAGTAAACGGCAGAAAGTATTTTTATCGGTAAATTTCAATTATTTGTTGTGTAAAATGTTTACAATGATCATTTTTTCATTGTAAGGTTCAATAGCTTTAGATGACTTTTTTCATAAACAGAGTTAATTAATGTGAAAAAAATTAAGTTCGATTCATTGTTTATGATTAAAAGTGAGGTTTACCTAATACGCATTTGGAATCTTCAGAAATGTTATGTTCAGAGCATTAAATAAATCGTAAAGAAAGAACAGCATTAATAATAATCCAAAATTACACAAGTTTGTATACTTGAATGAATTTTCACTTACATATGGAAAATGACTTCTCAAGAAATTGTATCATTTGAATACCATTTTTTCATTACAAACTAAACTTATATGATGACAGAGTAATACTTATTTCTATTGAAATAGGTTACTACTTCTTCAGTTGATGTCTTAAGCCCATGTACCCACGCTCGAGCGTTGTGAATGTTCCAATATTTTTCACAAGACGTCTGTGACTTCTCAGATTTAACTGTAATTTTCATTGTCTAATCTGTCAAAAAATGAACACACAATTAATAATTTAAACTTGAAATTTTAGTTATCTGTTATCAACAATCAAGCCGTTTCTAATGGATTTTGTTGGATTTCCTCCATTTAACATTTGGAAATTGAAAGTTTGCTTTTGATTGGTTAACAGATTTCAACTGTGAAATGTACAAATTTGAATTTTAGAACTTAATGATTCCAAATTTTTAAATTTTGCACTGTTGTGATCGGTTTAAAAAATTTCAGCTTGCCAACATTATTTGAAAGAATAGTCTGTTATGTATAAATTATTTCTCTGCATATCCGATGATATTTTAAGCCTCATGTAAATTATTATGCAGTGCAACGAAAACTAAGATGAGTGCAATGTTTCATTTTACAAAGTCTCAGTTTAGCTAAACTTTTCAATATCTGGTTACAACTTTTCAGGAATACAATTAGCTATATAACTAGTTTAGCCATGTTGAAT